ATGATGTATGAGAAAAATATTTGTGATACGTTTCTTAACTTTTGGAGTCTTAATCCGGAGTTTCATAATGTGTGTGTGGTGACAAAATATATAAATAAAATCATTATGAAATAATTTTATTGTTGAATTAATGGTTCTACCTAAGTTCTAAAACCTTCATGGTGGATCATGATCCTCGTGACCCTTCTGTGGAATCGCGACTGATTAAATGGCATTCTTGAAAATTATCTTCAATCAATTTTAAAATTTTGAACTACGATTTTAAATTTTACAATATATTTTAACAATAATTTTTCAACTATTTACTTTTTTCAAATCTATGATATCTTAGTTTTAATTTTAGTATGCCAAATGAAATTGACACCCTAGCAATAATAACAACGTGTGAATTCTTATTTATACGCAAAATTAAAATTTCAAAAATAAATCGTTTTGTTTTTTTCAATGAACTTGTCATTTATTGTATAAATATCAGCTATTAAGCGTAAATAATAAATATGAAAATATATTTATGAAATATTCAATCTTTCAGAAGCATCAAGGACCAAAATTAATTTCCGGACCCACCCTAAGGTGTTACGTTTGCTTTTTTTCGGCTACCGGCGTTCGGACGAAAATGAATTCTCGACCCTTTTAGCGATTAAATCATCAGTATTATAATACGGCACAGGATCTCGACGGAAGCTGTGTCATTAAATTAACTATATAATCTCATTCAATCTGGATCGAATTCAATTTGTGTCCAAAACCACATGATAAGATCAGCTATGATTTCAGAGAAGTCATGAATAATTCCAATTTTTATTTATGAGCAGACTGATTGATAAATCAGACGAGGATAATTGTAATAATTTATTTATTTTGAATAGTTAAATGTGTCCGTTAATTTTGATATACCGTTCTAATATATTTAGGCTGTATAGAATCATTACATTTAAACATTGAACTTTACTCGTATTTATAGGATTTGAATGAGCTTTAAAAGGGGAATAGGATTTTAAAGGAGAATAGGAAATAGGATTTAAAAAAGAATGTTTGCAGCTTTTTGAATAGTATTTTAAATTTTAAGGGCGTCTTCAAATTGCGAGGCCATATGCATTTGCTGCACTAATATATGAGTAAAAATAATTAGTTTAAGACCATATTAAAATTTGAGAAACTTAACTTTCTTTATGTTTAAATATGTTACTAAAATTCTATCTAAATAGTTCTTCAGTAAAAATAAATTAGACAAAACATTATAACGATTAGTGACAGGTTTATTTAATCTAAGAAGCAAATGTTAATGATATTTTTATTCATTACGATATTTCTAAATAATCAAATTATTTAAATGTTTAACTAAACTCAAACAATTTGAAAACTTACTTTTTGATAAAATAGTGACCGTAGAAAGAATAGTGTTGATATGTTTTATAAGTTTACATCAGTTTACACGTTAGGTCATATATATTTGATTTGCGAGCTTTGGAAACCAATAAAATTTTGAAAACTAGGATAATAAACTTCAAGAAAAAATCTGAATAAATTAAGAATTTGTATTTCATCTATTTTAATATACCAAGTTTTTAAGTTTGCCTATTATCATGCTAAGTAGGATCGTTTATTGAAAATTTATAAAAAAAATCTTTTAATATACCATAGGTTTTTGAAAAATAGCTCAAATTAAAGTCATCTTTCAAAAAGCTTTTACATAATTTAATGTTTTAGAATTGTAAGAGGTAAATTGGAATAACTGTTATTTCAATTTTTCTTAATGAAAGATAAAATATTGTTACTACAAGTAACTCGAAAGTTTGTTTTTTGTTGTTTTTCTATTTACGATGTCAAGAAGATTAGCTAATCGGATTTTCTATCAAAATGAACTTCTTCGGGAAGGCAGGAAATAAATTATCTAGATTATAAATTGTAGAAATAGATCTAGACAACTTTATATAATTTGTAAAATCTTTTCATTAAATGATTAAAAAATCATAGTGCTACAACAACTTCATGAAGGAAAAGTATTTGTCTGCGTCAGAAAATCGGACTTGCTAATTTTATGTTTATTCGATTATAAATTCTAAATGGCTTGAGACCAAAATTGGAACAAACATATGTGTGTGTATGGGAGATAAAATTAAAGTTTTGGCCGACATTTTCTCAAAAACGGCTGAGCCCATTCTATATTAGTATCTCGTAGGATTACAGCAGTCTTAAAAAATGCAGCTGAAAACTATGAAAATTTGAAATAATGGGCCGCGCTTTTAGCACACACAAGATACAATACAAGTGCTTCTTTGTATACTGTAATTAACAAAATTACAGATGTTATAAGTCTGTTTGAAAGATATCAATTGGAAATGTCATTAATTACTTTTTAGTGAAAGCGAAAACTTTATTTTCGAAATAAAAACACTAAATAGGTAAATCTCAATTTCTCTGTAATTAAATCGATTACACTGCGCACACTAAATTTTTTTCCTGAGATATTATGATGGTTTTTAAGTATTCGAGGACACTGATTTCAAAAACATCGTAACAGAAATTTTCTAACAGCTCTAATTTTTTAGATGTAACAAATTTCATTTAATGATTTCAAAAGTTTTTTTTTCGTGATTTTCGAGCATGGCCAAGGCCTGGCTGATTTTGTCATGAGCTCCAACAACTTTCAGCCAACATAACATGTGGATGTTCTACCTTCCTTGATATCGCTCCTCCAAAGTTCAGATGTCTTGTTGGATACTCTCGCCCTGCTATTCGCTAATATCTCCAAAATTTTCCAAAAACGGTTTTGAATAAGAGTGCAAGTGGTGAATTCAAGTCAATTACATCAAATATCATCTTTTAATTCTTCCTGCCTTTTCTTTTAACGTTGGTTTCTGGATCCATTACTTGGTAGGCAGGTGATGTTGATGTTCTAGGTTGTTCATCATTAGCGTGGGTAGGGGTTGTGTAGCTGATCATAAGTAGACCTCAATACCATTGGGATTGTGGTTTATGACTATTTGCTTCCATTGTCTGAATTTATTTCTTTAGTATTTACCATCCAGAAGAAAAAATCGTCGTGGTAATTCTGAGTTTTTTTTTAAATAATGGGGGTATTAAAATTATAGCCTTTTTTTTCTTCTGGATAACAACGTTAACACACTACGCATTTTTTTTCGCCATGAAAAAGCCATGTTTTATCTTTATTGCACAATTCAGTTTTAAAGTGAATGAAATACGATGTCTTTACATAGTTCGACATAGGTTTCCAGTATTTGTCGACAACATATTAACCACAGAAGTAACAAAAACTATCTGAATTAAGTACACAACGTCTTAGAGTCGAAGCCGTAATTAAATCCGAATGTCATTATAGCCAAAATGACTAATTGGAGTAATCCCCTAAACCTGAAAAACTGGAGCTGTTAAGAAACAACGGAAGGTATATTTGAAATCAGCGTTCAATTCTAAGTAAACTCAAAAAAAAGTTCGAGGAAAAAATAAAAGTGCCATTTTTGTCGTTTTTTTGTCAAAGATACGGGGCAATAAGTGCCAAGAACGGTAACCCAAGAGAACGGAGCGTCCGATTTTAATAATTTAAACTAGTGGTGTATGGCATCGTGCCTTAAGGCAAATTGCTGGAACTTTCCGTACCGTAATGAAATATTCGAGAAATTTTAAACGTTTTCAATTATATCATTACAAATACTGTTGTAACTTTCATTATTTTTGCTATCTTAGCAGTTATATCCGAGTAAATCAAATGTAAATCATAAATCAATTTAAAAAAGTTCCTGTATAGTCACAGTCTAAACGCATTTGCAAATAATTCTGTGCGACATTTTCACTTATACTGCGCTTAGCTTGGTGGCATTTTCCCATTTTTCAATAGTTTTCACAAAATTCGAATCGGAAAAGTGCTCCAGTACATAAACAGTCTGAACGCATTTGGGTAAACATTTGTAACAGAGTGGCGCTTAGACTGTGCTTAGCCTGGGTCATTTTTTGATTTGAATTTTTAATCCAAAATTACAAAAATATTTTTTGAAAAAAAAATAGAAACAAATGTTTTTATCCGAAAGCAATTATTTTGTTGAAACAAGCAGAATGTTCTTTGATTCATTCAAATCGGACGCTTAGTTCACTCAAAAACTACCATTTTTTTTAACATTTAGCTCCGTATCGTCGAAATAGCTGGGCCTGCCTTTGCCAAAAACTAATAACCACTTCTCCCAGTCATTACTAATTGAATGTTTTTTTAGATCATTCAAATCCGATACTCCGTTCTCTCAAAAGTCGATTTCTATTTTCTGCACTCTTTGCTCCGTACCTCCGTAACGGCTGGACCTGCCCTTACCAAAAACTAATCAGCTCTTTTACCTATTAATGTGAACCGAATGTTTTTTGAACCATTCAAATCCGTTGATCCGTGCTCCCGAAAACGTGACTGGAAATTTGTATCCATACATACATACACACATACACACACACGCACACACACATACATTCGTTTTTTCTGAGGTATGCCAAAATGTTCAAAAACCTTCAAAACGTCGAGAAACGTAAAAATGTTCAATTTCGATTTTCGGCCCATTACAATAACTTACCCTATGGGAAGTTAAAAACATTTTACTTGTATTGACAAGATGAAGAACTGATTAAATTCGGCGGTTTTCTAAAAAAGTATATTTTTGTCAAAAATTTATAGTTTCTCATAAATCTAATTTTTTCAAAGTAAAATTCTTCCAACAATGTTAATTTTTTTAGAAAAAAAATAATTTTTGGTACCGGAAGTTCCAAAATTGTCTTAAGGCACGATGCCATACGCCCCACTAGTTCATACGTATCGTTCATGCAATTTGCCTTAAGGCGAGGCAAAATGCCACTTAAATCTAGTCGAAAGGGATTCCAGTTGGAGTTCAACTTTAATACAAAATTCCATTGAACTACCAGCGGCGCGCAGTGGTCAAATTAAATACTAAACATATATAGGTAACTGCAATACCGACATTATCCGAGAATTTAGCTTACGTTGTTTAAAACGTCGAAATTGACGCAATAATAAGCAAAATAATATTATTAAACAATTGAGTAATTGCACATCATTCTATTGACATAAAAAACTCGTCAAATAAAATATCATGTACTAATAAATTTTGTCGTAGGTTCATTATAGGTCACTCAATATGCAAACATGGCGCTTATATCATCAAAACAATAAACAAATTTCTAATAAAAATGTTAAATACTAAATAAATTCAAAAGTGATTCATATAAAAATTTGACTTAATACAAAATATTTGACACCTGCAGTATTGTGATAAATAAGCATGGCAGAAAAGTAAGTGATTAGCTTTGTTTTATTATACATTTGAATGATAAACTTTGACATATTTTTGACAGTTCTTTTTAAATGTGTTATTTTCCTGAAATGTTAACAATATTTTTATCAATTAGAATTAGTTTAATTGCATTTGCAATTATCAAATTATAGTGTCAATAAAGTTTATACGCCAAAATTGATATTTTATACTTCATACGCAGTTTGATGAACTCAACCACAATTGTGTTTTGACGTTGTCAAAACTAGAAAATTATAAGTTATAAATTTCGCATTGTTCTTTATTTTTCGTCTAATGTAACATATTCAAATGTTTGTTACTTTTAAAAAAACGTATGACGTCTCTTTTCATAATATAAATATTTATCACATAAATTTACAGTAATGATTCATGGTGGGGCTCCTGGTATAATACTGCAAAATCAAAGGTAATGAAGGACTTTGATGAATTTATAATATTTTAATTTAAATATATTATATAAATATTTTATTTTAGTCTGCTGAAGTTCTCGAAGCTGTTCGTAAAGATTTAGGTGAAATATCTACAGTTGTTAAAGAGGAAGCTACAGCAGCTTCGAATGTTATTTCACAAACGTTGAAGGTAAATGTTTGCATAATGATGAATGGTTCAAAAATGCAACTGATAGTTTAGTGACTAATGTTGTCACTTATTTTGAATTGCATAGTTCTATACCATAATAAATATTCAATATGAATATTAGATACCAAAATGATTCTTTGAAATCAAGTTTTGCTACTTTAATAACATTGGAAAACATATTCCCCAAGAATTAAACATTATGAAATAATAAGTATTTCAACAATATGAAGAATAATTTTAAAAAGCTTATATTATCTTATAGACGTCTATGTTTTTGTTATAATATTTATCAAATTTTTATCCCATTCCCAGCTTGATGAACCAGATTCGACAGCAAATCAAGTTAAAAAGAGTTTTAGTGCTTTTCTGGGTTAGTATTTATTTAAATAGTTTTCTTATATATTTGACAAAAAACTTACTACTTTTTAATAAATGCTTAAAAAAGGACAAGTTGGTACTGTTCTCAATCCTGCTCCAGATGATGATGAAACTGAAGCGATACTGATAACTTCTGGCAATGGATCTATCGCATTGACAGGGCTACAGGTAATTTTTCAAAATATTACTTGGTTTTCATATATATTTTATATTTGATAAACATTGCATCAATTATTTTATTTGGACATATCATTGGCTATTTGTTTTCGACCATTCAGCAACTTAGTTTCTAATACGTATCTTAAATCACAAACCGTTAAAATTGTTGTATTTATATATTTAAGGAAGTTATTATGTATCAAGGTTATTTTCAATTTAAACTAATAATGTTGTACAAGATTATCATTTCACTAATATTATTTGCTTCAAAATTGGTTATATATAGTGCATTATCAATTACTTTCTTTTTCTTGTACATAACAATGATATAAAATATGAAATTAATAATTATAAACAATTATATCAGTAATCGACTGTAGAAATTACAAAATTTGATGTATTACATTTAACATTGTACATTATTAAGAGAAGAGAAGTTAAGACATTTTTAAGAGAATCTTTTCATTAAAATTATCATGGGGCCAATTAAGTTTTTTTATTCCGATAAAATAAATGAGCCGCTCAGTGCGCACATCGACTAACTCCACTTTTTGAAAAAACTGAGATATTAGTGGGAAAGAACTTGGTATAATCATAACTTTTAGTATTTATAATAACTTTCCGGAATAATAAAGATTAGCACCGTTAAATGGCAAATTTTTTTTGGCCATTGAATAATAATTAATTTATTTCAGAAGCCATTTCGATTAACTCCATACTCTGTATAATGTAAATCGTTTCAGTAACGCTGTATCTGTTCTGGCCGTGCATCGACGCTTCTACATTTATATTTGAATTCATATTATCAGGGAAATTTTAAAAAACAATATACATTAAATCATCGCGTTTCTCAACTTTTTGTTTTATGGAGTTAATCGATGTGTGCACTGGGCGGCTCAAATTTAAGTTATGTAGTCATTAAATCAAATTGATTTTAACTATATTTGCTGATTATTTTTTCCAGAAACATTTGTTGGAACTTCAATTAAAGGACTCAACCTACTTAAATCCTCCAGAACCAGCTCTTAAAACTCAATATCAGAGATGGGAAGATGTCATTTTAGAAGATCAATTAACACAAGATCGCTTGGCTCGGCATCTAGCCAGCAGTACTGTTTTAAATGAAAAATATGTGACCTTAGTTCCTGATAAAGTTGGACATCATGATTTTTGGATGAGGTAACATTGTAGTTAGAATATTGCGATTAATGTCAGTTATTCTGCATATATTTTTAAAGCTGATGTTTGTTTCGAAATTAGTTATAATAACGGATAAACATTGGTACGGAACCCATAGGAATGAAAACAAAATTTATACTTATTGTTAAAATCTCTATAAAATATCTGATAATTTTATATGTATATGTCTAATGATCTTTTTGACCGCCAGATGGCATTTTTTTAAACTTTTTTTTACTAGATCTCCGAAACCGCTAGACCTGCCTTCATGAAAATTTGATCAACTCTTTATCTTGTCAATACAAGTAAAGTGTTTTTTGAATTATTTAAATCGGACGCTCCGTTCTCTTAAAAACTGAGTTACCGTTTTTGGCACTTTTTGCCCCGTATCTTCGGAACGGCTAGATCTGCCTTCGCCAAAAACTAAACAGCACGTCTCCTTATCAGTACGAATCGAATGTTTTTTGAATTATTCAAATCGCTTCATCCGTGTTCCCGAAATCGTCGACGAAAATTTGTATCCGAACACACATACACACATGCACACACACACATACATCCATTTTTTCTAAGATATGCCAAAATATTCACAAATTTCTGAAACGTAAAGGTATATAAAAAATTTCATTTTCGATTTTTTTGCGATTACTATAACTTGCCCTACGGGAAGTTAATAAAATTAATGAATAAATCGAGTTAAATTGTTGCAATCGGTCCAGCCGTTCTTGAAAAATCATCGACCAGAAGTCAAAAATCTGCTACACACATACTTCTTCCAAATTTAGTCCCATTCGATTTAGAATGACGGCGTGAAATCATAAACATTCGCGAAAACACAAACATTTCCTTCGGAATGTTAAAAATGAATATTTTAGAATATAATAAGATGGAATGATAATATAAGCGAGATGTTAAATGCATTAATAATAATTCATTTCTCTTGAAGATATCTATTCCGCAAAGCATTACTAGAAGATGGTCTTGCACAAGCTGAAGCTGCTGAACGCAAGGCAAAGTTAGCAGAAGCTGCTGCAGTGTCACCAGTGAAAGAATCTGTTGAACCAACAACCATTCAACCCAAAGTAGCTGGAAGTAAAGCAATTGCACATTCCAAATCTAATAGTGAATTATCTAGCCGACCAAGCACAATATCTCTTCATGATGAACTTAGTCAACAAGTAAAATTTTGAAATAAATATGAAAAGTGGTCTGAAGACAGTGTAAATAACAGCGACTATTAATATTTGAACATTTTCAGTCTATTCAATCATCAGGGTCGACACCGTCGTTTTCTTCTTTAGGATTCACATCAGATGTGACTGAAGAAGCTGTTCGTTGGGATCTGGAGGAATTTTCTTGTGATGTAGAATTGAGTGAGGAACAGCAGAATAAATTATTGCAGGAATATGAAAAAGAAATGCAAGGCAGAGCTACCACAAAAGGTAGCTTATTTATGAAGATTGTTATCAATATTAACTAAACATAGATGGTAATCCCGGCCCATAACTCAGTATGTAGTTACATTTCAAAAAATTACCTATACAAAACTAAGGATTACTAAATGGAGAAGTTATGGTTTTACTTTTCAAAAACTATTATATTTTTATAATAAGGATAAATTTGTATAGATTTTTTTTTTAAGTGCTGTTTACCACAAGCGTTTTCTTTTTTGCATCTTTAGATTTTTACATGCCCTTTATGCAAAAAGTCTGTTATTTTCGATTTCTTGCTTTTAATGAAAAGATCTTTGTACATTTCTTATCATGTTTATTAAGCTGTTGCTTGGTGACTCCGCTAATTTAAAATTAGATGAAGTTTGCTAAGGTGACCATATAGTTTAATTAAGATGACCATCCCGGATTTCCACTTTGTGTCTAGAGTTTTCAGCAAGCAATATTTGTCCCAGATTTAGATCTTCTCTTTCAGATTGTCTCGGGTTTTCAAAACTAAAAGTATAGGGTTAAATTGAATTTGTGCATTACTTGATAATACACCTATAATTGCTCATCAAAAATGTAAAAATTATGTATAAATTGAATATGCTTTTATGATAAAAGTGCCAAAGTCAAAATTTCAAAAGTGTGTTAAAATATCATCTGACATTAATAATATTGAACTTTAGTTTTCTATTTTGTGAAAATTAGCAAAGAAAAATTGAAAATTAACAAATTTTTTGACTGTCTGGCACATGCACTAATTTTATACTTACGATGAGTTAATTATGAATAAAATTTAACAGAAAATTATACAAATCTTAAAAGCGAAAATCAAGTTCTATATAATTTAATCGAATAATAAAGTTCTTACTAAAAGTTAGTAATTCAGTATTTGTATTCTCAAACAGTATTTGTTATTTTAAATTATATTTAAAATATTTAGCGCAAAAGCATAATTACAAGATGTCGTCCCGGTTTTGATATAACAAATCTGGATTATGATCACCTTATTTTAATAGCTTTTAATATTTCAAATTATATTAGAATTTAGCTGATTTCTCGAACCAGGTTAACCAGGTTACCTGTACTTGATTTCTACGGCTATTTAGATAAAATGTCTAAACTGTTATCATTTTTATTTTACTCATTTTTTCTAATGAAGACACCTTTTCCAAAACTGGTCTCATTTGATTTAGAATGGTTTGAAACGTCAAGAAAACAAAATTAGCAAATTCGATTTTTTTTATGAAAACATAAACTTTTCCTTCGGGAAGTTAAAAATCAATATATTTCAGTTTTTTCTATTAGATTTCAAGTATTTATATAATTGCATTGCTGTATTACCTTAAACATTATGAAATGTAGGAAAAATTGGTGTTGAATTATTAAAAAGCCACCCTGGTCAAAAATTATTGGTAAAAAATATATTTACTGCTAATATTTTACTATAAATGGTCTTTTCAGATCAACCAAAAGTGGAAACTAATAAAAAGTCCAGTACAAAGAAGAGCCCGCAACCTTCAAATGCAAGTAGCAAATCCCAAAAACTATCCACCATTTCAGTAAAGCCAAACAAGGATACTGCGAAAACCAAAAATACAAAGAATAAAACAAATAAAAAATCTGAAACTAAAATTTCTGAAAGCAAGTCGGACATGTCTTTGCCAATTGAATCAGACCACTTCAAAAAGGATAACCGTTCTAAAGACTCTGTCGACAGTAGCAATGGTTCAAGTAACTCAGATGAGTCTTGGGAAAAAGAATTTGAAGATCTAGGAGAATAACATTAAACGGAATTACTTAAACTAAATTTCATTGATAAATTGATTAGATATGCATAATCACAACTATAAAAAAAGGATGAAAGTACTTCCATATATCTAGAGGAAAGTTAAAATTACCGGGTGAATTAGCTACAATTATTATTGAATTTTGTTTCTTGTGCCGATCACTTTTCTAATTCATTGTACAGTTTCTATATTTATGCTAAAAATGTAATTTCTTCAAGCTTTTCACTATTTTGTCCATTATTAAAGGGGAGGGCAAAAAATTGGCTTAAATTTTGTTGTTTTTTTATATAGATTTCTAATTTTTTTTTGAATTATGATCTAGATTAATATTATGTGTTTTAGATGAAAAAATGCAGTGCTCTAGATTGCAAAATATATTAACTGACAAATTCTATTCTATTATGAGAATGGCGCTCCAACCATTGCAATAAAATTGAAATTTGAGTAATCATATTTCAAGAGACATGACAATTATCAGAATATGATAATACAATATTTTGTTTATCTAAAACAAAATCTTGTCTTAAATTGGTACTACACAGTATCATTTTAGAATTTTTTAAAGTTAATTTGAAAATAGCTTGATAATTTGTAATAATACTTAAAAATGACTAAAATATGTACACATAGCAAATTAAGTCTTCGCTTGGATTTACATGAAAATTGCCAAAAAAAGAATACATTCATTATAGGAAGTATTTATTCAAGTATTTTTTGATGACTGTTCTAGCTGTTCATCAATTCATACTTAAAATAGTTACCCTTTTTAATTTTTACAGTATTTAAATTTAATAGTTGGTATAGTATTTTATAAATTTTAATTTGAAGCATTCCTTTATAGGTTTGGAAATTATATTTTTACAAAAAAAAAATAACCCGTCCAATTGATTTTAAACAAAACCATAAAAAACTAGGTGCTATAGTAAACAGCATTTGATTTGATGTATACATTGCATTGAAATGAGTGGAGAAGCAAGATGAAAGCCTATCCATTAATGACTTAAGACTTTTTAGAAATGTTTTATATATACATATGTATGCTAGATATTTAGATGGTGTCTTGTAATTGAATTAGATTTACAAGGAACCAAATGTTCTACATTAAAACTAAATTTTATCTCTATATTTTATATAATTGAATTTTGTGCAAAAATATTGTTGAATATATATGACTTTTACTTGATTTTAATATTGAGCTGCTTTGTTGGCCTTAATATTTGACATTTAAATAAATATATTTTATTTGTTATCAAAAATGTTCTTATTTCTTAAATGATAAAGTACTTGAAATAAAACACTTGCTGTGCTGATATAAATTCTTAATAAAAAATATTTCTTATTCCTCGAAATTTGTATTGAAAGCTGATCAAATGAAATAATTTCAAACTAGTCATATATGGAGTAAGGCAAGCTGCATGAAATTCCCGATTTGTGCAAATAGTCAACATAAATCGATATAATCGATAAGAAATTGATATATTAATTTATGAGTGAGATTTATAAATATAACGAGTTGTTGTAGGGTTTATGATTTTAGGAACCATATTACTGTAAATTCTTTAATTTTGTCCGAAATTTCTCCAAACATGTTAGTTATTTTCGGAAAAAAGTTTATATTTTATACATTTAGACACCGTCTATATTTTCTAAAAGCGTATTCCTTTCCAAATTTTATGCGACTTGTCGTAGACCTATCATAGTTTATATAAAGTTTCATTCAAATAGTGTAATCTTTTTTTAATAAAATATTACGAAAAAAACGGACAGTTTGACCGACCCCGACCTTTACCAAAAACTTATCAGCACAATTTGAAATTTAATTTCGAAAATCGGTTAAAGATTTGATTTCAAAAATTTCGAATGACTTGAAACGTCGGAAAATCGGAAAACCCTTATTTTTTATAAAAGATTTAATAATGAATTTTAATGCGATATTCGATTTGAAAGATTGGTATTGATATTGAAGATATCATCTATTCTAAATAGTACAGCGTAGTATGCATCATTTTTAAAAATGTTTATCGAAAATATATTTCAAATTGAAAATAAAACCATTGGGTTGCCAGTTGAATAAATCGTAAGGATGAAGTTTGAGCACAAGAGCTCATATGATGTAAGGTCTGATTGCTGTTAAAAATAATAATAAGTAGAATTCAAGAAAGTCAAAATACGTCTTAAGTGTTTTTATTCTTATTTTTAAACTGCAATCAAAACTTAACGTTTGAGCTTTTGTCATGCAACCCAATAGGCTGATCAATAATTGATATGTTTTTATTATCAGAATTTATTCAATGCGGATGATATATTTTTAAATTAATACATCGATTTCAAAGAATTTTTTATTGATACCATAGAACCATTTTTTATTGATAACATGTTTTTGACCATTGAATATCGAATATCAAAATGACAATGGAACGGAACACTGAAGTGTGAGAGATATTACCTTATGACCGTCTTAATTCAATAACAAAAATCAAAAACGGTTAATAAACTTAGGGTATCGAATAGTTTTTAGTATTAATATTAAGTAGCTATTGCACGTTAGTGTGATTATTTAAAAGAAGACCTCATATTTTTATGCCAGGCGCATGCGCAACTTTGCGAGATCGATCACAAGGGTTGCTAACTCCCTTCACGTCCACCCATGCCAAAATTATTGTCATATGCATTGGCGTTTCTAAATATTTTTATTTCATTGAATAAATATACTTCTCTAAATTAAATAATTTGTAGTAATTAATAAAAATAAAATAAATTTATATAAATAAATAAGCAATTAAATAGTATTTTTTCCTGGAGCTACTCTGTGGTTATCCCACAGAATAAAAAAATAAAAAATAAATTAAAATATAGATGAATCGAATCCAAATTATGAATCAAATTTTGTGGACGGAGTTCTAATTAATTTTTATGAATGTATATCAATAATAATTTAACAAAATCATGTATGATTTATTGAGGTACTCAGAACATGATATTCATACGACAAAATAATAAGACCTTACTAGGTGTAAGTGGCATTTTGCTTTAAAGCAACTTGCATAAGCTTTCCGATATGTGTAAATCCATAGGAATTTAGTATTTGCTTGCATTACAAACTAATTAATATGATTTCTAATTGATATGTTCTAATCAAAATTATAAAATCTGCAATTTATTAGGTGTAAGTGGCATTTTGCATCTGATATGTTAAAATAATAAAACTTATCAATAAAAAATTAGATTTATTTATTTAGACAAAATTGTTATCAGTTTATTTTGAAAATAAACATTTCACTTTTACTAATTTAAACTAATCAATGCAATTTGCAATTGATATCCTCCTACAAACAATCCTATAATTGATTGTAGTAATAAAATTAATCACGGTGTACGAATAGTCCTGAAAGCGCCATTTACAATTTTCATAAGTTAACTTCTTTTCGTAGAACTATAATATTTTCCGTTTAATTGTTTAGATCATGAATTCTATCGACATTACAAGTTTCATTAAAAACGCATTTTTTTATACTTCCCGTAAGGTAAGTTATAGTAATCGCAAAAAAATCGAAAATGAAATTTTTTATATATCTTTACGTTTCAAGAGTTTCTGAATATTTTGGCATACCTTAGAAAAAATGGTAGTGTGTGTTTGCGTGTATGTGTGTGTGTGTGCGGATACAAATTTTCGTCGGCGATTTGGGAAACACCGTTCAACCGATTTGAATAATTAAAAAAACATTCGATTTGTATCGATAAAGAAACGTGCTGATTAGTTTTTGGCGAAGGCAGGTCTAGCCGTTCCGAAGATACGGGGCAAAATGTGCCAAAAACGGTAGCTCAGTTTTTAAGAGAATGGAGCGTCCTATTTTAATAATGCAGAAAACATTTTATTTGTAATGACAAGATGAAGAACTGATTAAATTTTTGGGAAGGCAGGTCCAGCGGTTATAGACTCTCAATAAAAATAAGTTAAAAAAATGTCATTTGGCGGTCAAAAATGTTTATTGGACATATGCATATCAAATTATCAGATATTTTATAGAGATTTTAATAATGTGTACACATTTTGTGTGAATTCTTTTGTACCAAAGATTTTTAATTACGGTACGGAAAGTTTCAGCAATTTGCCTTAAGGCACGATGCCATGTACCCCACTAGTTTTACCATTTAATTATGAACAGACGGTCCGATCTATCATTTTCAAGAGAAAAGCAATGCAATTTCCAATTGAAATATTTTGTGATGTTTTAATTTTTTTAAAATAGAGCAAGATTTTTTGCTCAAATGCTGACAAAAAGTTTAATAATTTTCTAATTACAAAGAAACATGCTTGGCCGATCTTTGCGCAAACCGACCAACGCTAGTCCTTATCGAGTTATACCTAATGGCTTTTAAATTTAAATGTAATGCGTTTAAATTGTTCTAAAGCTTTGAGAAAATGTTGACAAAAAGTCAAGAAATTATCGAATGAAGTATGCCATTTTTTTCAATATGTAAATACATTTCTGTTTTGAAGATTATTTTAAACATGCCAATATCATCGCGCCGCCACTGCGTAGCTTCTCATTGACGGTCGTACGCGAGGCTAAAAGATCTATAAGCGAGCTTCACCGGTAGCAAAAGCTTCCACTTTATTTTATTTTTAAGATTATTTATAAAATAAATCAAATGATAGTTTCAATCAATCGTTTCAGTTTACTTTAAAATGAGTTTCTTCTCGAATTTTTAATACAACGCACAGTTTTGGGGCGATAATCTGTATCCTGTATTATCTTCAAGTGTTCAATAGTTATATAATGTGCAAAAATTGTGATAAAGGATTATCCTAGTTCTTGTGCAAATATATATCAAAAATCATGAAGAAAACTCGATAAAAAATAATAATACTAAAAATGTAAATGTTAAAACTATATCAAATACTATATTGAAATGTGATTGCTGTAAATTAATTTATTTATAAGGGCTTCCATTAAAATAGATTACATATAAAAATATAGGTCTTCCAAAAAGTAAAACTTATAAAAATATAGATTAATATAATAATTTACAAAATATGTTATATAAAACAAAGTCTTCCAATATAGAATTGTAAACCAATGTAGATATAAGCAAAAAAGTGTCAATAAGTCTTCCAAAATAACAAGTGTTAATAAATAATATTATAAATAGTACAAAAAAATTAACTAAACAAATTGTTTTTAAAAATTGTGAGCGAGGAGAAGTTGAGCTTTGCTACCGGTAGAGAAACGTAGTAATTCTAAGTGATATAAAGTTTTTACTACAAAATACAATATCCACGAATAAAAATCAGTTGAAAATCAAAATCTTTATTTCAATCTATTTCGAGTAAACAACCATGGCTTCGTCGCTTTTGAATAAAATACCTCTCCGTGTTCCGCCTTTAAAAAATGCTTTGAACGTGGCCTGGCAAACTGTCCAGCAACAAATGCCAGATAGATCAAGAGGAGAATATAGTGAACCACCAGGAAGACCTCCACCACCAAGGCCGCCACAGAATGTGCGATTTGCAAATTTTGACAATGGTAATAAAATATTTTAATTATAAAATTTTTCTATTTTATTTCTATGTATTTTTTAACTTAAAGATATAGAAAAACTTCATTGACCAGCATTTTAGTATGAGGTAGAGCGAGGCTTAAAGGTCCGCTGGTGGACAGATCACCAAATCTCAAAAACAAGTAATGTTAGGGATTTGTTAACGACAATATTTGAAAGTAGAGGGAAAAAGATGTATAACCAGCCATGACCTTAATTCTCATGACGTCACTAGTATATTTTCTTTCATTGTTAGCACTGTTAACGTGTTGGACGTGATCTTAGTTTACAAAACCTTAATATAATTTTTAAATATACGTTGTTTATTTGTTTTTAAGACGTATTGTTAATCTTAAGTAATTTCAACATTAACTTAATTAATTACATTGCACTTACCATAAGTTATATTTTTATATTTTTTAAATTTCAAAGCTTTCTGAACATTTTGCGTGTGTGTGTAGTATGTATGTATGTCCGGATACAGATATTTGTTGACAATTTGAAAAGCACAGATTAACCGATTTAGATGTTTAAGAAAAAAATCGATTCCTATTGATAGGCAGACGGGCTGATTAGTTTTTGGCCTAGACAGGTTCAGTCGTTTGATACGGAGCAAAAAGTACCAAAAATCTTAATTCAATGTTTAAGTGAGTGGGACATCAGATTTGAATTATTCAAAAACATATTACTTGTATTGTCGAAATGAAGACTTAGTTAAGTTTTTGGGAAGACAGGTTCAACGATTCGGAAGATATTTTATAGAAATATCTTTCTCTTCAACTCTCAGCACACTTAGAAATGCTGCATGATATTTATTTTTAAGTTTTTGTGCATTTCAAAATGTTTAATTATTAGATAATTACAGCAAATACGAGACAGAAATGTTTAAAATTTTTCAATCCCTAAATTAAAAACATATCGGTGTGGATATTTCAAACAGACGCCGTCTTCAAATGAAAAAAACATTTATATTCAAATCATGACCCTTTATTAACTTATAATGAAAAAGAAAGAAGTTATTGTAATTGAAATTGAAAAGTAATGTATCAATCAAAATTAATTGACAACTAGATTTTTGCCCATTTAAATAATAACCTTGATATGAATCATTTATACTTGATTTTCTATGCCTTGAACATAAAAAACCTAATTCAAAGAAAAACAATATGAAACAAATACGATGACATAATTTTCACATAAAAAGAAGAATAAATACCAATAGAAGTTTTAAAACATTCATATTTTTAATCGAAATTTTATTTATTTTAGATGAAAGTTGTGAATTGTCCACTATGGCACAAAACGGTGGATATGAAGACATGTCCGAAAATGCAGGAATGGCAGAAGAAAGTTTCTCTCATGGATATCAACAGTCTGGAGGTCTCAGAACCCAAAGGTACTTATTATCAATTTTAGGGTATAATTTGTCAAAAACTCAAAAATAAATATTGAGTATTTATTGAGCAACATTGTTAATGAATTACATATCTCATAATTTCATAATTTAAGAGTCATAGTAACTTTTTTATTCAGCTAATTCTATCCAAAATATGCTGTGTAACATATACTTGAACTGCTTTGTGGCTTGTACAGCAGTGACACACCTGCGGAAAACTTTCTCGTAGACAAAGAGTTGAATTTATGACTGACAAACGTTATGATATATGAGCAAATAAATTAATCAGAATATTCAAATATCATCATATTTACATTTTACTATAGGCAAATGAGTTCAGCCAGTGGTGCATCATTTAGTGACTCTGAAGGAGGATTTGAAGGCGAAGGCGGTGGACGGCCAGGTGTAAAAATCAACGAATATCAGGCTGCGTGGAATGTCACTAACGCTATACAGGTAATTTGAAATTGTTCTTTATATTATCTATTATAAGTATCTTAATTTTCACTTGAGAACTTTAACACTAGATGCAAATGCAACATATATGGTCCCTCAGCAAAGTTGATGTCGAAGACAATGAAGTTATATTATACAAATTAAAATGCTTCGCGTTTATCATGTTCTATATTCGAAGTTAATCAATATTTATTATAAAAAAGAGTACTAAAATTGGTATACATCCAAATTTAAAACATCCATTTAAAACTATAGATTTTTCAAATGGATTTTAGCTTAAGGGTCATTCTTTTACAAACCGGACACTAATTAACCTTGACATTTTAGAATTGTCTGAAAATTTGTTTACAGATACTATTCATAAAATCATTTGACATTGGTCCTTATTATTTACACCTAGGCCAGTATGAAAGTGTGGTTGACTCTGTTTACCCCACCCACATGTAAGCTTTAATAGAGATTATTATCAGAAAGGGTTGAAGCCAACTTAAATATTCCTCTACATTCAAATATTGTTGTTAAAAAATTTCTAACTTTACTTGTTTTTGAGATATTGGTAGTGGATCTTTTTACCCACAAACTTTTAAGCTCCGCTCTCCCCTAATGTTTTTTTTCGACTATATGTTCATTTTCCGCCAGAAGCGAAATTATAAAATATTTTTCAACCGAAAAACAATAAGATTGTCATTCGAAAGTGAAAAATGAGTACAAGTCTTTGAGGTCCACGGCGTGAAAAGCGCGGCTCGCGCTTGAAAATATTTAATATCTTTCGATGTAACAAAGTCTCCAACAAATTGTAAAAAGAATTTTTTTGCAGAGAAAAAAAGAAAATATATGTTTTTTTTTTGGATCGATTCAATTCGGGTAAAGGCCGAGTAAAACCTTTGTAAATATTTAAGGGTTGTTATTGTTAAGAAAATTGCAAAAACAAATAAAAAATTTTTAATCATTACAAAGTTCACTTCAATATGAGTGTAATAAAAAAAAATAATACTGATCGGATCAGCACATCCGGAGATAATTCATTTACCGCAGATGATGTTCATAGAAATTGAGCAAAAAATCCATATTTCAATCGTAAATATTTACGTAAAAAAATTTTTTTCAGCAAAATCCTGAAATACGTGTCAAATGATTTTATGAATAGTATCTGTAAACAAATTTTCAGACAATTCTAAAATGTCAAAGTTAATTAGTGTCCGGTTTGTAAAAGAATGACCTTTAAACCGAAAATCAGCATGGAAAAAATTGGTATATTTTATAATTTATAAAGACAAAACTCTGATTTGTACAGACAAAAACAAATACACACAAAATTTATACAGAGAAAAGCTCTGCAATTCACTAAATCTTGCAGAATACGGATATTGTAACTAGCAATTCTTTCGTCGAATTAGTTGTGAATTATTTGTTTTATTTTATTAAAAAATTTAATTTATCTTACATTAAACATTTTATACGTTTTATCAAGGCCTTTATTACCAAATTGACAAAAATAAAAAATAACAGAAAGAAAAACCAATTAAAGAAATAGATTATATAATACAAGGATGAGCAACGCCAAGCATTTCTCAACAGCAGATTATTTTTCTAAATATTTTATCAAATACGGCTGTAAAGGCTAATTTTGTCGGCAGTCAAACTCTGGTGAAAACTGTTGTTCGAAGAAATAGCTTTTTCTGATAAAATAAATATTAATTTATTTAAATATTAGTTTAACAAGCTTCAATATTGCAAGAAAAATTGAGAACTTGTCCGAGAACATAGCAACAACGCATTTTTAAATTTAAAATAATTAAATATGTAAATCTTATAAAGTCGCGAGGATTAAATCATCGTAAATTTAAAGAATTCCTAGCAATTTAGATCGTGGATATGTCGATTTTCAATACTGAAGTATGTCAGCTCAATGATGCAATGCTTATGGAGTATACGACTCAAATGGCGAATTACAATTTTTTTTGGATATGAAATAATAATAATAGTCTTTTTGGCATTTTGGTAATTAAGAATAATATTTTTTGCAGAATCTTGTGTTTCACTTTTCATATTCAAAATAAGAAAATGCGAACAAATTTTAATTGTGATTCCAAATAGCAAAGCTAACAAGACAGATGTTTTCATGTAAATGTTTCCTTCGCCATTTAACATGCAAAATAATATAGATTTAAAAAATGCATTTTTTCAGTAAACATCAAATTTTTTTATAAATTTTATGTCAGCCCTGAGAAATTTTCGCTTTTGAAAAAAAAATGCAAATCAAATTATGATAAATTCTTTTTTTGTACGTATGTGCGCGAACAATCACATAGGTCCAAAAAAGAAAAGTCGCTAGATAATAATTAATTCATTCAGAAAAAATCTATATTGAAGATTATGCTAGTTTTTAAATGTTTTTCAATATTTTGTGCTCCAATTTTGACTATAGATTATCATCAGCGGTAAAAGGTACATTAGTAATCATATGTCACACAGCCAATCCAGACAAACTCTTTTTTGTAGACCTGTGTTAATTTCAACCATAAAATTTATAAAAAATCACCACCTATCAAAGCTGAGTAAAACATATCAAAGCTGCATACGCGTTGCATTTCGTATTAAAAAAATTAAAATAAAGAACAAAATCTAAAAATAAAAGCAGTGCCAATTTTTTTATTAAAGTTTTCAAGTAAAATTGTTTTTCTTTTAAATATTATTTGTTTTCATTTTGTATTACTATTAATAAAAACTCATAATATACACTCGCAATTATATAAAATATATACTTTGTTCAATTTTATATTTTTGTTCTTTTCTTGTGGCAATTTTGTAATTTTGTTGCAATTATATTATTTCCGCGCTCAGTCAATAAATCTTTTGACTTAATTTTAGATCAGACTTTTATCAGAGTTTATGAAAAAGCTTAAATTTTATTTAAAAAAAAAAACAATTTATTTTCATCATGGCTTGTATGGCCGTAACAATTTTCTAAAATTTTGTTCTTTATTTTAAAATTTTAATGCGAAATGGAAAACTACAGACAACCCAAATTTTTATTTTTTTATAATAAACATTTTAGTAGTCTAATCATTTTTTATATAGCTCGGTAACGAATCAATTAACTATTATCGCCTTTTTTGTGAACGTTTTTAATTGATATTCGATCAAGATTTTTCTGATCTTATAAAAAAGCTTAAATTTATTCGCTCTATCCGCTGCAACATTTTAAAAATGGCAACGAAATGGTTACCTCCGATAAAACTAACTGATTTGCAAGCTTATGACATTGTACAAATATTTCTCGATGTCCATAAGAAGTACATAGTTCTTGAATGTCTCACAAAAGGAGCAACAAAATTAGAAATTTAATTTTAAAATTAGGAAATAAAACTGTTTTTGAGAGAAAACTAGAATTTTTTCAGAGTATAACATAATTATGCATGTTAGTATTTTAGCGTTGCAGTGGGTAAATTATCCAATATTTATTAGTATTTTAGCGTTTGCAGTGGGTAAAATTATATTTATTAAACGTAATAAAATTTATGCATTCGGGATTAGTTAGTCATTTCTTATACTAATGATTTTCTAAAAATATTATCAGTAGCTAAACGTTCGCCGGGTCAGCTAGTATATATATATAAATATATATATATATATATATATATATATATATATATAAATTAAAGTGCGGCCCGCCAAAAAATTTGAAAATTTAAATTGGCCCGTGGGTTAAAAAGGTTGCTCGCCCTTGATATAATATATTCTAAATGATATAAATAACCTACTAATCCGCAAGTCAAAGATTTATTATACATACATTTTTTACTTACTACAAATATTTTTTTTACTTACTATTAGATAAATTCACTGTTAGTAAGAATATTATATTTGAAAAAAAGTTCTCTATGTTGTGATGTCTACTGACAAGCTGACAAAACATTTTATCGAAAGTGAACCGTCTGGGATGAGATCAAAAGTATTCATACGTACAGAAGATTTATGTATAAGACTAGTGGTGCATGGCATTGTGCCTTAAGGCAAATTGCTGAAAGTTCCTGTACCAGAATTAAACACTCGAGGAAAAAACAGCAATTAATAAATATTGATAAGTGATTAATAACAATTGTTTTAAATATTTTGAAATACATAATTATAAATACTAAATATTTTATCGCTCATATATTATATAGCGACGATCTTATCGCATAAAATTCTTAAGAATGTTTACATTAACAAGAGATCCGAATTAATTCATCTGGGGATATATTTATTACGATTAGAATAACGCATATGAAATTCATACATTTGTAAACTGAATTGTAAAGTGGAAAGTTATATTTGAAGTATAAGACTTTGTGCATTTTTGAAAATTTCGAAATAAACAAAAATCTGAAAATTTAAAAATTTATTTGAACCGTATAAGTTTAGAAAAAAAATTAAAAGTTTTGGTACGAAACCCAAAAAAAATGTACCAAAATTAGTACTCATTTTTAAAATCTCTATAAAATATCGGATAATTTGATGTGCACATGTCTAATCATTTTTGAGCCAAATATAATTTTTTTTTACTGTATTACCAAAACCGCTGGACCTGCCTTCCCAAAAAATTTGTTAAAATCTTTATTTCGTCAATATAAGTAAAATATTTGTTGAATCAATCAAATCGAGCGCTCTATTATCTCAAAAACTGAATTATCATTGTTGGTACTTTATGCGCCATATCTTCAAAACGGATGAATCTGCCTTTGCACTGATCAGCACGTCCTCCTTTTAATAGGAATCTAATATTTTTTGAAGCATTCAAATCGGTTGATTCGTGCACTCGAAATCGTGGACAATAAATTGTATACAAACACACACATAGATCGATTTTTTCTAAGATACGCCAAAATGTTCAGAAGCCCTTAAAACGTATAGACATGCAAAGATTTTCATTTTAATTTTTTGCGATTACAATAATTTACCCTACGGGAAGTTAATAATACGAAACTGGTAATTATTTTAGGGAATGTTCATCGTATCACTACCATTTGCTGTTCTTCGAGGAGGTTATTGGGCTATAGTTGCTATGACAGGAATTGCCTACATATGTTGTTATACCGGCAAGGTTTTAGTCCAATGCCTTTACGAACCGGACCCCGACACCGGTGCTCCGGTTCGAGTGAGGGACTCCTACGTGGCCATAGCGAAAACTTGCTTCGGGCCGACGTAAGTAAATCCATATAAAGGATAAATATCAAGTATTTATGACACATAATATGGATTGTTATTAATATTTATCTTTTCTATTTCAGTTATGGAGCAAGGGCGGTAAACATAGCCCAAATTATCGAACTGCTGATGACTTGCATTTTGTACGTTGTGGTTTGTGGTGATTTGATGATAGGAACATTTCCTGATGGTGCCGTGGACACGAGATCGTGGATGATGCTCATTGGAATCTTTTTGATTCCACTAGGATTTTTGAAATCTTTGCATCATGTTAGCGTTTTATCATTCTGGTAAGAAACAAAAATTATCAAGTCAAGATATTTTAGAAATTTTAATTAAGTACTGTCAACAAATTTCCCTAAATACACATCAAAAAATATTTTTTTATTTTATTTTTTTTTTAAATATGAAGGCAACAGGTGGTAACAATATTATACATATATAATACTTCATAGATGTATTAATGTAGTACATTACAGATTAATCTAAATCAAAAAAATATTTATTTAAAAAACATAAGTTACAAAATATATCACAAAAGAATTATTATATAGTAAGTTAGGGCGGGGCACGAAGGTCCAATTTGAGTTTGTGCAATTACGTTGCGAAAACCAAACCAATAATAATACATATCAAACAAACAACTAACTGACTATGTTCAGTAAAACTCCCAGATAATTCAACATTGTAGAAATGTGTTTTATTTTGCTGTGTTTCAAAAATTTCCCACCTCACTCACTTTTTACCCTATAAGAGGGAGAAAATGGGACGGCCACGGGGTAAAGAGGTCCAATATTTTTTTTTAATTTCAAAGGGATTTTACAACATAATAGCTATATTATTTAACCTATGCAAAATATAGATTTTATAGGCAATTTTTTTTACTGAGATAATACTGTACATAAACTTGATCTGGTATTTCGTCAAAAAAATCATCAGCAGCGTAGGGATAAATGTTTATTCAATTTATCTCTTGTGAAATTGTTGTTTTTAACTTAACTTACTATTTTTACTTTATTCTAATTTTTATTGTTTACACTTTTGCCAAGGTAACGGTTTAGAGGGCCCTACTTACCCCACCCACGATTAAGCTTTTATAAAGACTATATAAATAACTATTGAATCTAACTTGAAATTTACAAATTAAAATTATATTAAAAAAACTAACAACGAAATAAAATATGTAGTTTTGTTATTGATTTTAAAGCAATGTCTTTTATGCCCCGATAACGACTTCGTAAGAATCAGAATGATGGCTGGTTATACATTATTTTTTCTCTACTTTCAAATATTGTTGTTAAATAATTCTTAACTTTGTTAGTTTTTCAAGCAACTCTACCCTGCCAATTTTGTTTTGAAAAAATATAGAACATTTTGATAATGTAAGAAATAAAATTATAATAAATAAATCGTAACAAAGAAGAAATTATAAAATAGATTATACCAATGACATTGCAAAAAGTTAGTTTTTCTCGATATATTATTTATTATTAATGACATCTAAGAAATTGTAAAAATTGAGGGTTTAAAAAAATTTTGAAGGTGAAAAGCAATGTCAGCACTGGAGCAATAAATTAGCACTGAATTACAAAAAATTATAACAGTTTATTTTCCAACGCTTATTCATTGAATTTATTCTCAAGATATTGGCAAAAAATTATAACAGTTATTTTTCAACGATTATTTATTGAATGAATTCCCAAGCTTATTTTTTTAATTAATCATTTCAATAGTTTAAAAATGAATAAATAAGTAGGTATATATTGGAATACTTTTACAGAAAGTTATTGGAGAATTAAGAGAAATAATTAAATGAGCATGTGTTCAACTTGTATTTAGAATAATATTTTTAATGTATTAATTTACACTTCAAACATAAAAAACATAAAAAATGGACATGTCCTTCTAAATATTTATAAAAGTGCTACACAAATGCAGTTAAATTACTTCACTTTCAAGTTTTGATATAGAATTATAGCTTCTGAGGATTACATATTTCGGGAAGTGATGAAATGACTATGCGATTAACATAATATTTATCACTTAATTACCAATTAATTTTAATAAACTGTGATAATTTGATAAATATTTTGATATATAAAAAATGAAATAAAATGTGGTCGAAAAGAACCAAAAAATAGATATTTTTTATTGCGAATATTGATGTGTTCAGGACATCATGAAATAGAGGATAAAAACTTATTCAACTGTCAGTATAATTTGCAACTGTAAAATTTGTTTGATTAATTAGATTTAGATAATATCAAATGCATGATGAACAACATCCATTTTTATTTTGCATATATTAAACTACTTCTAGAAATAATTCAAAACTTGTTCTGGTATTTTTTGCAGGTGCACCATGTCTCATTTGTTCATCAATGCGATAATTGTCGGATATTGCCTTCTTGAAATATCAGACTGGGGCTGGTCAAAAGTGAAATGGTCAATAGATATGGAGAATTTTCCAATAAGTTTGGGCGTAATTGTATTTTCATATACGTCGCAAATTTTCTTGCCAACTTTGGAAGGAAATATGGAAGATCGGAGCCGTTTCGATTGGATGTTAAATTGGTCGCATATTGCAGCAGCTGCATTTAAGTCGCTATTTGGATACATTTGCTTTTTGACATTTCAAAACGATACACAACAGGTGAGTGATAAAATTGTGTGAAATAAGAGTAACCAAGAATTGAATTATTATGAATAAACACTCCAAATAAATTATAACTGATAATTTTATTGAACAAGTTAATTATTTGTAAGCGCCCGGCGCAATGTTTATTAAAAAGTCAATTAAAAATCACTACGCACAGACACTTAATTACCTCGAAGGACCAGATATAATTTATCATTAGAATGGCTATATCAGACCTTTAAAAATATGTAAGTTAAATAAGTTGGTTAGTTATTGATAGTAATTATTTGTTTGATGTTCACGGTTCAAGTTATGCGTACAGAATGGATAATTTCTTATAACTATCTTAGTACCTAGAGTAGGGTAGGAAATTATTTTATTACAGATCAGAGGGAGTTCAGTATATAGGTAGAGGGAGATGGGTAAATAAAATTTGTGAGGCTCGAACATTATTTGACCCATTTTTATTACATATTTATATTACATTTAGTCCTAAAATTTGAAAAAATATTGGGGGTGGGCAACCCTTGTTAAAAATAAATAGTATTTTGACGTAAAAAGAATTGTACGTATTTTTCAATTCCGCATAAAAAATACAATAAAAAATTTACCTCATAATTAAAAAAAATATTTGGGTTGGACAACCCTCAATTAAAATAAATTTTGTTTAAAATGACCTTTAAAAATTTTCATCGTCTCAAAAAAATCTTAATTAAAATGATGTCAAATTAAAACTAAAAGAAAATTGATTCGAAAATTTAAAAAATAGAGGTGAACAACCTTTGATAAAAGTAAGTAGTTTTTCGAAATAAAAAGAATTCTATGTATATTTCAATTTCAAATTATAGAAAATTAAAATAAGTCAAGGAATTTAAAAATAATGTTAGGGGTGGACAAACCTTGATTAATATAACTAGTAGAAGTAAATAGTAAATAGTAAATAGTAATTGTATATAGTTTGTCAATTCCGCATTAACAAAATTAAAAGAAAAGAAGTTGACCCAAAAATTAAAAAAAGTATTACAATTGGACAAACTTTAATAATAATAAATTGTATATTAAAGAAGAATTTAAGCTTTTTCTTCAAGCTCAAAAATCTGAATTAAAATTATATGTCAAAAATATTCAGTGTCTGAAGACCGTATAAAAAAGGATTGAACTGCTAAAATACGGTGATAAAAAAGTAAAAATTTTGGATTGTATGTAGTTGCCACATTATAATAAAATAAAAACAAAAAATTGGTCCAAAAATTACAAAAAAAATAATAAGGGTGAACATCGCTTATTACTTAGGGGTATGAAAAATAGATAGTTACCGATTTTCAGGTGTACTGAATACGCATATAAAATAATCGGTAAAGCCGTTTCGGAAGAGTACGGGAAAGAACTTTGTGACACGAGAAGTTTATATATAAGATATATCGACTTTTCAATCAATTAATGTCAACATCCACCTAGTAGTGCATTCAACAATATGTTAGGAAAAATAAATATATCCTAACAAATAATCAATTAGATAAATTCAATAAATTAGATAATTAAGATACTAAATTTTTAACATATTTATTTCATTTTCAGGTTATTACAAACAATTTGCATTCAGCTGGTTTCAAAGGTCTGGTAAACTTCTGCCTTGTTATCAAAGCGGTGCTCAGTTACCCTCTTCCATATTACGCCGCCTGCGAATTGCTGGAACGAGCATTTTTCCGCGGAAAACCGAAAACGATATTTCCTACAATATGGGCACTCGACGGTGAGTTAAAAGTCTGGGGTCTCGCATGGCGCGTTGGGGTCATAGTATTCACCATACTCATGGCAATTTTCATTCCTCATTTCTCAATTCTTATGGGATTCATAGGAAGTTTTACAGGAACCATGTTAAGTTTCATTTGGCCTTGCTATTTTCACTTGAAACTCAAGGGGCATACATTAGATAGGGGAACTATTGCATATGATTACTTTGTAATATTCTTAGGAATGCTGTTTTGTGTTATAGGAGTTTATGATTCTGGAACTGCTCTGATAAAAGCATTCGAGATAGGTCTTCCATTTTAAAGTTTTATATTGATGTTGGTGTTTGTTATTGAAATGATGTTGAATTATGATTCGCACCTTATGCAATCCATATCTACAAATTCATTTTAACAAAAATATTTTTTGTTGGCATTTAAGAAAATTCTAATAACACAGGTCCAGAAAAAAAGTTGTCTGTTTTTGGTGTGCGACAGATGTTTTCCAATGTAGTTTTTATCCTTAAACTTCGAATCTGAAGTCAAAATTAGGGGTCAAACTACAAAAAAGTGAGTAAAATTCAAAAAATGACTTAATACCTGATCTAGTAATTCTTCTGCATAATTATTAAAATCTTACAATTTCTTTAGTTTCCTGGCCTTTTTTGCCTGAATGACATTTAAGGGGTAAGAACTACATTGAGAAACAAATTTCGAACACCCAATATATAATACTGACAACTTTTTGTTTGTGGACTTTATATGTAATTATTACAATAAACATATTTTGTTATCTATGAAATTATACTCAAATACGTAAACACGGTCAATATTATACATGCCTGAACTTTGAAAACGCAAATCGCCAATTAAATAAATTATATATTCAATAGCAGAATTAATATATATTTAATAGTGAAGTAAGACGATATATACTCGTATTACCTAGATATCATTTTCTCTTGGTTCCAAACGAATCAAAATTGAACATCATCAAATGTAAAGTTCTTTATGAGTAAAAGAGCAGTATTGTGGTTAACTATATGTATATGGATGTTCATGAATTAGTAAAATTTTTGATAGATTAAATAAGATTGGCAATAATAAAGAAAGTGGTCTTCAGATACATACATTTTCAGTATGAGCAGGTGACTAAACCAGACTTGTTTAAAATATGTCAAATAGAAAAATTGCACATAATTAGATTTATGAACCAATTTTGCCGCAAATGTTATGGCAAGGCCATGATACGCTCCAACTTCCATACTTCATGTCACTGAATCATACTGAATACTGTCAAAATGTCATGTATTTGCTGTGCATTCAGGCGTTTTACACAAACTGCAACGTGACGCGTATGTTATGAAGCTTGATCAGAAAGACCCTGTTATGTAAAATCGTTTTGTTTTTGACATTTGTGCGGTTTCTAGGTTAGGTCTTCTATTAACCTGAGAAAAACGGCCCGACTGCAAAGCAACCACATGGCCTTTGTCTAATTTAGTGTGGAAAGTTCTTCATAGCATAGCCTTGCCATAACATTAGTCTGTTATGCGGCAGAATTGGTCGATTAATCGTGTTCGGAAATAATGAAATTGGCGACTTAAAAACACAAAGTAATTGGTTATGTTATAATCGCACCTTATACATTTATATTAGGACATGTTATTCATTATTTTTATAGATATTTTATATGTTATTGAACATGCAGATAATAGTTTAAAATCATGTTTCATTTTTTACGAAAGTTAAGGGCCCATTTTTAGATAAAATAGACTGTAATGTAGCGTTGTTATAGCAACGCTATGTTACGCTCCTGTCTTCATATAAAATGGTAGTATAAACTATCGAAATGTATTTACTGCAAAGTCAGGCGTTTTAGATATAAAACATAACCCGACAACGCACAAACATAAAAAAGAATCATAACTGCATCTTTCTGATGTGCATTTATAACACATACATGAAGATAGATTCTATGTGTGAATCATCTGATTGCACATCAAGCACATAGCATTTTGACAGTTTTTACTACCATTTTATACGAAGAAAGGAACGTAACATAACGTTGTCATAACAACCATCTATTTTACTTGAGAATTGGCACCTTATACGGTGCTATAATTTTTATAATGTATCTACGTGAACATCCACCAAAATATTTACATATTATAGAATAACATATTGGCAGTGGCGTCGGAACCAAGTTTTTGATGGGTGGGCTCGTTTTTTTTTTTTTTTAGATAGGCAGCCAGTGGTCTCGTTTTTTTTTCTTAGAGATATTATCCCATATAATTTTTTGAAATTGATGGGCGGGCTGAGCCCCCCCATCAAAATTCATGGGTGGGCTCAAGCCCACACAGCCCACACGGTTCCGACGCCACTGCATATTGGATATAGCATATATGCTAATATGAATTATTTACGTTAAGGCTCACATGTATAAAATGTTCTCGTATACTTAAAATGTCTTCCAGAAATCGTAAGAACATTTCAATATGAGAAATACTTAAGAAGATTTCTAAAAATGCATTTTGTGTTCAAAATGTAAAAATATTCAAAACATAATATATTTATATACAGATATATTATTTATTCTCTACAATATAAAAATATGATTATTTGATATTTTTTATGAAAACTTAAAGGATGTAGATAATACACAAGTTTTAAATTTATTAATCGAGTATAGCTCCAATATTGAAAATTATAGTTTAAAAGAAGCAAATGGTTTACGTTCAATATATTGTGTTGCCAAAGTGTAACTTTTTTATTAAGAAATTAAGAATTCTTAAAACTTTTTTAAAACCTCTAAACAAATATATGGAGAATTTTGTTCCAAAAGGTTTATTAAAATAATTAATTTAAAATGTAAAAGTTTTAAGTGTAGCTAATTTTATACCTTACACTTATTTAAATCATTTTGATTTCATATGATGTCAGAATCAATAACTTAATAACGCTTATAATTTATTAATGAGTATTTTAGAGCTTTTCAAGACTCATAACTCGAATACTATTTTATCATATATTCTAGACTTAATTTCAAAGAAAACAAATGTCTTCCAAATATAAACTATGTATTTTGTTGTTCGTAAAAGTATATAATTTATTAAATTTGTTTGCTAAATAAGAAACATTAAAAGATATAAATAATAATTGTTATGAACATAACTAAATGTAATTATATTTCTTAATCTGAATGTTTATAAAATATATCGACTAGTCTTCCAATGTATAATATCCACATAGATATTGTAGTTATTATAAAATGTAGATTCTTTAAAATATGAGACAATAATGAATACTGTTTGAAATAGAACAGTTACAAAAAATGATAAATAATTATCAAAATGCAATTACTACGATTAAATAAATAAAGTAAATCGTGCTTCCAATTGATTTGAAATTGATAACTGTTGTGATTCATTCTATATTTATCGAATAGCAATATATTGTATTGGTTTAAGAGATTGAAATTGTGTTATTTAAAGATAATGTAATAAAAATATAATGAATTGCAGTCATATAATGATCATAGTTTTATTTTAGTCCAGAAAATAAAGTTAATTTGATAAGCAAGTTATACAATGACATGAAAATCGACTCGACTAGTTGATTTTCAAAATGTTTCAGAATATTCGATATTTTGAGGGAGAAATATTACTGCTGACAATTTTTATTGTTTGGTACACAAAGGTTATAATATTTTTCTGTTTATCATTGCTAATATTACCAGTAATTTGAAAAAACTGACAAGTTTTTATGAAGGCAGGTCTAGCGGTTTCGGAGATCTAGTAAAATAAAGCAAAAAAAATGCCATTTGGCGGTCCAAAATGATCATTAGACATATGCACATCAAATTATCAGAATTTTATAGAGATTCTAACAATAAGTATAAATTTTGTTTACAATCCTATGGGTTCCGTACCAATGTTTATCCGATAGACGGCGACGCGGCGCTTACGCGCTTCGATATTTCGTCTCTATGCAGTTAAAGCAATACGATTGCTTTGAAAAAAAGTTCAGAATTTCAAATTTTTGTCAAAAATGTATAGTTTCTCAAAAATCTAATTTTTTCAGAGTAATTTTTTTTTTTAATTTTAATCTTTTTGCAATTTTTAGAACGGGAAGTTTCAGCAATTTGCCTTAAGGCAGGATGCCATGCGCCCCACTAGTTATTTCAAAATTTTTTAAATATTTAAAATATTAAGTTCACTATCAATCGTGCTTTTGAAGCTAAATACTTCAATCCTCCTTCCATTTATTTAGTCGACAAATATAGAATTACTATTAGAATTGTGTAAAATTTGGTAAAACCGTTTGATTATAATTAGCAAGTCAAGAAAAAATAGCGAAAACGATTAAATAAATTTTGGAAATTTCAATGGTCAGTTCTATATCATTATTTTTAACTTCGCGTAGCGTAAATTATTGTAATAATCCAAAAATCGAAATTGAAAATTTCTTCACGTTTTGATGGTTTCTAATCATTTTGGTATGTACGTATGGATACAATTTTTTGTCTACGTTTTCGGGCGCACGGATCAACCGATTTGAATGGTTCAAAAAACATTTGATTCCTATTGATACGGAGATTAGTTTTGTCAAAGGCGGGTCTAGCAGTTTTGGAGGTACGGAGCAAAAAATGCAGAAAATAGAAATCGAGTTGTGAGAGATCGGAGCATCGGATTTGAATGATTCAAAGAACATTCAATTCGTAATGATTGGAAGAAATACTCAAACCGTTTCTTTAGACTTAGCAAAAAGTGCAAAATATTTCATCCATGTTTTCGAGATTTCATTTGAAATCTGAGTATAGAGAAATTACTCTATACTCGGATTCAAAATAGTTTTAAGTTAGCTAGATTCGTATTGCAAAATCAACGCAATTGCTCGTATTCATATATTTAACAATTTTCTACTCAAATCTGCTTGGAAAAAATGTTAAACTACAAATTTAAAAAATATGGATAATAAAACTTTACTTGAATGATTTCTGGATTCGAGCTGATCTATTTATATCATAAATGGTCAAGCTTTTTATTCGTCCGTTAGTTTTGGCTGTGATAAAACAAACATACATATATAACAGTCAGAAAATAAAAATAAAATCAATAGAGTTTCATTCGGAGCCTTTTGGTACCGACAATGATCATAATGGTCGTAATAATAGAATAGCCTCAGCACAAGAGAACCGATACAATAACTCAAGAACCGCGGTTGCGTAAATGAAGCGAAAATGTTTGTTTTTCTCCCATTGCTTCTGAAACGTTACTTTATGTTTCAATCACACAGATATCAATTCACATAAAATGTTAAACTTCT